CACGACACACAACACACACACACACACACACACACACACACACACACACACACACACACACACACACACACACACAACATAGCACACATGCACGTGCACGCGCACGCACACACGCACACACACGCATATATATAACACTTCACGTAAGCGTGTGCGTGTGCGTGCGCGTGCATGTCTGTGTGTTGTATAAATATACATACTTCAAAATCAAAGTGAACATTCTCTAGGGTAACACAATCTGGCTGTCGACATATAGAGGTACGCGGAGCAAAAACACGGTTAACTACGTCCACAAACAAGACAGGGAAATCGCACAAATGGCATCTGAACAGGAACACGTGTGCGCGCTCCGGATGCTGTAGTTGAGCATGACTCAACCTCAGAGCTTCAAAAATACCAAAACACACTGGAGCCTGCAAATGTACAGCTTTCAATCATAACACATTATTAGCCGTATATTAGCGTATATTGTGACGTTTAATTCCATTTCCACCGATTGGTGCCCGTCACTTATTTACAATACAACTGTCAGCTTTGCTCGAACGCTTGCTCACTTTGCTGTCATATACATGCACACCATAATTTCCAGCGTATAGCCTCGCTCCCCCTCCCCTTGGAGACAACTTTCTGTGCGTAGTCCTTCTTCCTTTATTAAACTCGCTATTTTAATGTATTTTCTTGCACTGCCTGTCCCTATCCATGCGTAATAGTCTTTGCTTGCAATCTCCCCTTTCCCTAATAATGTAAGTCCTATTAAGGTCAGTTCAACCTCTTCCTCCTCCTCCTAACCATACAGAAAGGTCTTCGCATCCACCCCCCCACCATGCAGAAAAGCTTTTTAAGTCCTCCTCAGCCCCCAACCGCGCAGAAAGGTCTGTGCAACCTCCCCACCCACCTAACCAGGCAGGAAACGCTTTTTAAGTCCTCCTCAGCCCCCAACCGCGCAGAAAGGTCTGTGCAAACTCCCATCCCACTTAACCATGCAAGAAAAATCCTCCGCAGTCCCCAGCCGCGCAGAAAGGTCTGTGCAACCTCCCCACCCACTTAACCATGCAATAAAAATCCTCCGCAGCCCCCAACCGCGCAGAAAGGTCTTTAATTGCTGACGCTCCCTACCGGTTAACATCCCCTACATAGAGCCCCCTGTTGCCTCGCTCCCACTGCAGAAGGATCATCTTCCTAGCGGGCCGGATTAACAGCATCCCGTCGCAACTCTTACGGAGCGGGTGACAGACAAAATATTTTGCCAGCAGTTGCATTTCGATATCGCGTCCGTATAGGGGGCTGCTGCCGGGTAATCGGACCTGCAAGACCTCTGCATTTAGGTGTTTACAATCAATAACCGGAGACCAAACAAACCGCCAGTCTGTTTACCCGCATGGTTTGGGCGGTGGGTCGGGCAGGCAGTGCCGGGGAAGGAGATGTGTATATGTGGCCGCACTGGGGTCGGGATCTGGAGATGCGTGCCCATGTAACAACTATAGATGCTGTACAGCTGCTATGGTGCCCGACACACCCCCAACCCCCCTACGAACA